TTCCACATGTTTGAAGAGGACGAAATTTCAATCCATCCATTATCTATACCCGCTTCTTCCTTTCAGGGTCACTGGGATCACTGGTGCCCATATCCAGCAGTTACTGTGCTAGGGGCTAGACAGGTCACAGGTCCATAGAGACAAACAACCACTTAGTCTCACCTAGGGACAAGTTAGAGTTACCAGTTAACCTAACAGTCATGTTTTTGGTCTGTGGGAGGAAGCCAGAGTACCCAGAGAAAACCCACACATGCCTCCTCAGAGCAGGGAAACAGCTCAAATATGCTGGATAGTGACCCTCCAGTATTGACCCCCGCTACTGTAAATCAACAAAATAAAAAGTTTATTAAGAGAAATGAATATTTTTGCAACCAGCTGTAGACTATGATCAGAAATAAAGATAAAACTTGAATCATGAGCTTTTTGTAGCCCTGATCTCAACTTCAGCAGAGTTCTGTACATTTTTCTGGCTGCAGATCTGGCCTTCACCCACTCTGTATTGGTTTGATCCACGCTGTGATAGTTTGACACGCTCTGTGTCTGTGTGTTTACCCAGCCTGTATTGATTGGACCCATTCTTTTAGTTTTACCTGTTCTGCGTTGGTGTGATCCATTCGATATTGGTTTAAGCCGCTCTGTGTTAGTTTGACCTGTCAGTTTTTAACTCGCTGTATTGATTTGACCCACTCTGTCACGGTTTGAGCCACTCTAGGCCCTGCTCATTGATTGGCTCACTGACTAGGGTGAGGGGTGTTACATCACATAGATGAGAAGAACTTTCCATGAATCATTTTGCTGTAATGTATTTTTTCCACGAGTTTAACTTCACAACAACAGAAGCGAGCTACCAACAAGCTAACATTATCTTACCTTTCTCTGTCGTCCTGCCCTATCATCTTCAGCATCATACAGCAGGATGGTCCAGTAAAATGCCTTGTGTGTTGGTTTGACCTGCTCTGTGTTGGTTTTAAACCCACTCTATTGGGTTTTAACCCACCCTGTGTTGGTTTAACCCACTCTGTTGGTTCTTAATCCACTCAGAGTTGGTTTGACATGCTCTGTGCTGGTTTCTAACACACTCTTTTGGGATTTAACAAACTCTGTNCTCAGAGTTGGTTTGACATGCTCTGTGCTGGTTTCTAACACACTCTTTTGGGATTTAACAAACTCTGTGTTGGTTTCTAACCCACTCTGTTGGTTTTAAAGCATTCTGTGTTGGTTTTTAAACCACTCTGTGTTAGTTTATAAACAATTTTTGTTATTTTTAATTCACTGTGTTGGGTTTTAGCCCACTCTATTTTGGTTTCTAACCCACTTTGTGTTGGTGTGACCTACTGTGTTGTTTATTAACCCACTCTGTTGATTTTTAAGCGACTCTGTGATGGTTTGACCTGCTCTGTGTTGGTTTCTAACCCACTCTGTGTTGGTTTGAATTGCTCTGTGTTGGATTTTAACCCACTCTTTGTTGGTTTGACCCACTTAGTGTTGGTTTTTAACCCATTTTGTTTTGGTTTCTAACGCACTTTGTGTTGTTTTGACCTACTATGTGTTGTTTATTAACCCACTCTGTTGATTTTTAACCCACTCTGTGTTAGTTTCTAACCCACTCTGTTGGTTTGACCTACTCTGTGTTGGTTTTTGAACCCACTCTGTTCATTTTAACCCACTCTGTTAGTTTAACCCACTCTTTGTTGGTTTGACCTGCTTTGTGTTGGTTTTTAACCCACTCTGCGTTGGTTTGACCTGCTCTGTGTTGATTTCTAACCCACTCTATTAGTTTTTAACCCACTCTGTGTTGGTTTAACCCACTCTTTGTTGGTTTGACCTGCACTGTGTTGGTTTCTAACCCACTCTGTTAATTTTTAATCCACTGTTTTGGTTTGACCTGCTCTTTGTTAGTTTGACCTGCTCTGTGTTGGTTTCTAACCCACTCTGTTGGTTCTTAATCCACTCAAAGTTGGCTTGACCTGATGTGTGTTGGTTTGACATGCTCTTTGTTGGTTTGACCTGCTCGGTGTTGGTTTTTAACCCACTCTTTGTTGGTTTGACATGCTCTGTACTGGTTTCTAACACACTCTCTTGGGTTTTAACAAACTCTGTGTTGGTTTCTAACCCACTCTGTTGGTTTTAATCCATTCTGTGTTGGTTTTTAACCCACTCTGTGTTAGTTTATAAACCATTTTTGTTTTTTTTAATTCACTCTGTTGGTTTTTAACCTACTCTATTTTGGTTTCTAACCCACTTTGTGTTGTTTTGACCTACTATGTGTTGTTTATTAACCCACTCTGTTGGTTTGACCTACTCTGTGTTAGTTTTTGAACCCAATCTGTTCATTTTTAACCCACTCTGTTGGTTTAACCCACTCTTTGTTGGTTTGACCTGCTCTGTGTTGGTTTTTAACACACTCTGTGTTGGTTTTAAATCCACTCTGTGTTGGTTTAATCCACTCTGTTGGTTTGACCTGTTTTGTGTTGGTTTTTAACCCACTCTTTGTTGGTTTGACCTGCTCTGTGT